TTCCAGATTTTCAAATAGTTGTATCTCGACCAAATATTGTCTTGTATTTTATTTTCTTGTGAATTTTCAAATCGTTTTTTTTTTTTCATATTGTTTTGTCTGTTCATTGACGTTAACAACTATATTTATACTCCAGGGTCCCTTTTAATGCAATAGTATTGTGTGCAACGTGCAATAATTCCCTTAAAGATTCTCACAGAACTGTTCTGATTGCAGTGTATCACATTAAGGTGATTGATGAATTTATTGTATGATTACTTGCTTGTGTAAAGGGGAGTATTGTGTGCATTGTTTTTTTTTTTTAGTATTTATAGGGTTTACAATTTGCCTTGCCTGTGTGCATTTCTTTATGTCCTTTTAATCTGTCTTGCTTGGAGTGAAATTATTAGTATTTATATATGTATACGGATGCGTAACAAGAAATAAAGTTATGCGTTTCTACACACCAGCACCCACCTTTGTCCTTTAATTAGGATATAAATTAGGGTAATATATTTATTGGCTTGTTGCATGCCTTCATATTATTCCAGTTACTGATAGTTCAGTTATACATCTGTACATAGCTGGGTGTACTAAAAGGCACCAGCCACAGTTGTTATTGACCAATTGTATTGCAATCTTGATATGATATAGTTTATTGCCCAGCCTTTTCCCAGACCTTCCTTATTGTCAAGCCCTAGCAGGTAATTTCAGAGAACTACTGTATTCAAGGTAACTACGCAGAGCGTTTCTCTTTTTGCTTCGGGAAAAACTGGTTCGACCATCTTGTACAAGCAGGAAACAAGATACAGCACATATATAAATAGAAGCAAAATAGCTGTTTGTTTTGTGCCACTTACCTGATTTGGAGATTCTTTAGATTGTTTGCTGCTTTCAGCAACATTTTCACACCTCAATAAAACATGGATCTCCTCTTGTCCTTCTATTTTAATGACGTGATCCTTTCGTTCTAGTACTCTTTCCTGGGCTTTGAATACAAATACATATTGATGAGTATAAAGTGTTGTCATTATAAATCAAATATTACATTTGTTTTGCTGAATGAAAAGCTTAATTAAGATAAAAAGTGGCATTGATTATAACGGTGCAAAATAAATAAATAAAACATCCTTACCTTCTTTCTCCATAAAAGTTGTCATGTAAGTTGTGTCACCCACTTTGTTGATCTTACACTCTCCCCCTCCAGACCTTCTCTTGATTTTAAAATACTTTTCCATTTGTCTTAGTTCTGCATCAGAGAGATTCTCTGCCTCAAAAAACACAGCGTACTCGTAGTTCTCCATCTTTAATCTGTTGTTTTGTTGAGCTTCGACATAAATATATAGGTACTCAGATGCTTTCACTTTTGCTTTCCATGGCCACTCCTCCAGCTTCCTCTTGATGCAGTGAGACTATTTAAGTGGCACAAAACACAGAATTATTTAAAATTATATGAAAACAGTAGAAAGCAGGACAAAATCTGAGAGGCAATTCTCAACTATGCCATCTTTTGCTCAAGTCATGAGTGTCATACTTGGTGAGATACTTGGTAACTGAAGATTACAGTATGAAGTTGCAAGTGAAGGAGACAGTGACTTGGGTAATGTTTAAATGGGACAAAACATAACAGTTTCTGCTAATCTCATGTTAATCTTGAGTACCTAGAGAGAAGTATTGAATCCTTCATATCTCCGAAGAGTCTTTAGTTTGATCAGATGCTGGGTGTGCTCTTGCTCTGCTCGATGTGTGTGCGCTCGCTCTTCCTGGAGAAGTGCACATGAGAGGTGTAAAGTAT